AAGAGTGGAACGTTTCTTAGGAAGAAGTGTGAGAGTGGAAGCGGAGATGGATGCCATTTTCTCTCTTGTGTGATTTGTTTGGTGAATAAGAATCTGTTGTATAGTGTAATATGATTTTTATTTTATTTTATTGGTTTATTAAATTGAAGTTTGTCCAATGCAACACCGCAACTTGGATTGCACCACATCTTCTTTTATCCACCACTCATGCACTACCAAGTCGGATCAATCATTCAAATCAAACAAATATCTAAAGTTTAAAAGACAAAATATCTAAGTAAAAAATACATTTTTAATTGTTATCATTTTATTGATTTACTTATCTTTTTGAACGACAAATCTAAAATTACCTCTTAAATTCACTTATATCAATAACGAGATTTGAATTTTTGACCTCAAAGAAGACGGTCAATTTCTGATATTGGTGAGTTAGAAACTCTTTTTGATTAGCTATCTACTTATTGTTTTAGTGGTTAAACCATTATATGTTTTATTGTGGTGGCTAAATTGATGTAAACAATTATTCAATAATTAAATCGATAAAGTGACAATAATACAATTGTTTTTTCCTATTCGTTGACCAAATATTATAATACTTGTATCTTATTCAATGAATCAAATATTTCTTCATGTGAGATTTTATCATCTTTCAAAGGTTGTGTAAGGAAACAAAATTATGTATCATTTTAATTAGTCTCTTTTGATCACTAAATTAATTTTTAACCAATACTAATTAAATAATATGATTCTTCAATTAATATATTATACTTATAATATTTTAATAAATCATAACTAACCTCTTACTCATGTTATCTATTAAAAGTGTTAAAGACATATTACATTGAATTTTTTTTCTAGCCAGATATAGTTTTTCAGGATGGAATGAAAGAATGACAAGCCTTTGTTTGTGATTTCCTTGCTTGCAAGTTTGGTATTGAATTTTTATAACCAATAACCCCAAAAAAAAACTTATATCGAAGATTGAACCATAATCGCTCAAAATCATAATAATTAAAGAAAAAAATCTCATTTATCATCTTTTTAACAAAAAAATTATTACCTGGTTTTCCAATTTTAAAAATTATGCACCTAAGAAATTAAAATATCATTTTTTTTTTTTTTTGCAAAACACTGCAAGCCTGATGATGTTATTTTAAGTGATAATAATCAGTATTGCATCACACATCCAACACATACATAAGAATACATTGTAGATGTCTAGTTTAGTTGGTAAAAGTAGGATGAATCTATATACCTTAAGATCCAATTTAAATAACAAACTACATAACAACTTGTATGTAAATAAGCATGCATCGAATATACAAACTACAAGAAGTGCAGTGGACACTTGTAAGGTAAGGTAAGGTACACCTGTCGTAGCTTCATTCAATTGGAAGTTGTATCTAAAATGAGTAGTAATATACACAAAGAAGATCCATTGTGTCGTGAAAAAAAAAAAAAAAAACTATGGATTGACGGATGTTAGTGTGTAAGAATGAAAAAGAGGAAAAATGTGTTTAATAAGAATTTTGGGTGTTGGTGAGAAATATATGAAGCTATGCGCTACCCTATGTTGCACTGCTGCAGATATGGATGATCGTATTTGACATGTTTCCTCCAATAGGTTTTATATCTTTCAATGCCAATATCTAACCATGGTTTCATGACCCCATCATAGTGTATAATTGCTGCCTGCTCTATTTCTTCCTTCTTGATTCCAGAATGATACCCTAATCCATGAACATGCCATTTTCGCTCCAAATCCATTGTCTGGTTGTAAAATGTCAGCCAACCTAATGGCAAGCTACCCGCTTTCCATATCGGCCTCTTTTTCCCCTGGAACCAAATACGATATGAGCAATTATTTCTGATTTACTATTATTTAAAAAAAAACATACATACCAGTTGTAGGTATTTGTTATAAAGTGTGGTGAGATTCCTTTTTCTCCACTCTCGCATATCAAACAAATTGACACCAAACCCCCATGTGCATGGTTGGTTTGTAAAAGTAGTTGCAACAACGGGATCCGAGAAATTGATTAACAAGTCCATTCGGCGAAATGCGGGATCGTGTCCCTGACAGGTGTTGACTGCCCCGTTGACTTTTCCCATCATGTTGACCCGCCAAAGAGAAGTCAAATCCTTTTGTACAACCACATCATGGTCAAGGAGGAGAATCTTATTGAGTGTAGGGAAGATGTGTGGTAGATAGAATCTGAGGTGATTCAGAGCACAAGTGTATCTTGGGTCCTGGGATTCATGGCCCTGGGTGTTTGGTGGGTTGTATTTAGTTGATAACCAATCAAAATTGTCCATGTTGTGGATCTGGACTGTAGCTTTTCCAGGAGGATGTAAAAATAAGAACCACATGGAAAATGCTGCAAAGTTGAGAGAATCTGTCACCACATGAAACACAATTTTCCCGGGTTCCTGCAATTGATACAACAACTGTCTGGTTGGATGGATGGAATGAATAATTGGTAATGGAATAAAGCAGTTGAGCAGCTTACCTTTGCGGTGGAAATGGTGGATGCCACCACCACTGCAGAAGCCAGAACATTATCAGAGAACACAGCAAAGTGATAAACATCTGTTGAATTGTGTACAAGTACATCTGGGTTGCTAGGGAGCTCCCTTTCTTCAGGTTTTAAAGCAAAATATTCAGCTGTAAGCCTCATGGAAAGACAGTGAAGCCCCTTTGGTGTAGTTCTTCCAGCCAGCTGAATAAGAAACGTTTCTTGCTCCTTCTGTACTCTAACCATTTCTTCAGCATTGTTAGTCATAGCACGAAGCTTCTTCACCATGCCACAGCAATCAGGATAGATTCTCCCAGCTTTCTGCAACGAAACCTCCATGGCCCTCATTCTCTGAACAGCCCTGAACAAAATCAACGGTCTCCGATTCAAAAAAGACAAATCTACCCCTCTCTCTCTTACCTAATCTGAATCTGATGATATATATATCACAGTGAAATTGACAAGTTACCTCTTAGATAAATCTGAGTCCTTGGTCACATCTCCCATGGCACGTTCTAGTTCTTTAATTCGTAACCTTAATTCCTTTATTAAGTGACCATTGTTAGCAGGTATTGCAAAAGTTAAGTAAGCTTTAGCCCTTATCAATTGATCTTTCATCTCTTTGATTTTCTTATCCATTGCCCTTCTTCCTTGATCATGTTCAAGTGTTGCACGACCAATCTCTCCCTGCCACATCATCAAAACCAAGGAGAAAACAATAAATGATCATAAATTGCAAAGCTGTTTAAAACTTTTCAAGTTAGGTCTTACTATCAAAACACTATAGAAACAGGGCCTTAAGAGTTGATTCATATGCAAAAAATATATATACTATAGTTCTACATGACATTAAAAGTGTGTATTAGAGGCGTATTTACATTGTCCATTATTTCCTCTTTCAATTTATATTGAAGCATAGATCAAACCTTTCTCCCTGGAGATAACAACATTTTCTCTTCTTGACTCTGTCCATTAGTTCCTTTCACATCAGAATCTCCTTCTGAAATTTGATTCAACCGAAATGATTAATTGACAACAACAAAATAAGTAATCAATATAGATACTAAGAGGAAACTCAGAAGACCAACCATTTTGTTCTATGAAATCAGTGTTTTTGCCGATTATGGGTTCATCAGACTTGTTATCCACATCTTGGGATCCGAAACTAACAAGCGGATCAACATTTACATCTTTGTACACATTTAAGATGGGTTCCCTAAAGCCTTCATCTTCCTCCTATATATCATTCACAAGTCACAACCATTATATATTTCTCTATTCCATGAAATCTGGAATCAAAGATAGAATCTAGCATTTCAATATACCTGCTTTACTAGATTCAGCTTCAGCAAATCCCTCCTGCCTTTCTGGAAAGAAAAAAAAACAGACAAAAGACTCAGGCATCAATTTATGAATCTACGTAAAAGAATAAGGGAGAAACACATAACATACTGTAATCAACGTAAAGCATTTTGAAGAAAAACTGTGATTTAATTGTTTTTTATTCTTTGTTGCAAAACAAATAACAAAATCAAATAGAATGCGGCAATTCCGACTTCCTTATTCCCCTTTTTTTCGCCAAAATTCGCTATGATTTAACTATTCTGCAACTTTATTGTTTCGAATTTCACTTTGATGGAAACTTGTCATGGAAATGAATAGCATCAGATGTTAAAAACATGTTTAAGTTTTCTATAATCGATAATAATAATAATAATTTAAACCCTCGCAACATGAAAAGGCAATAAGATCATACAAAACTTGATAAGTCTTCAATAAATCCCTTTGATTCTGCATCAAAAAGACACAACAGATGCATCAAAAAAACTGCACATCTAATGATAATCAATCAGACATGAATAAATAAAAACAGAAATAAACAAGAACGTACCGTAGAGCAAAAGGATCGGGGCAAAGACAGAGAGGAATAGCAAAGAGAGGATGCATATCCTCGTACGCCGGCGAAACTGCTTCATCAAACGTGAAAAATAACACCAATAAATTTGATCATTTGGAGTGCAGATTGAAATTTTTTGAAGATCGAGATTTGATGGTGGTGGTAGTGGTGACTAGGGTTTTTGAGAATGGTTTTTACCTTATTGTGGGTCGTTGCTGTCAGTAAAACAGCGTGTGATGCTTTGCTGATTTGAGGGGAAATAGGAGAGAGAAGAGATTTAGAGAGAGAAACAAAGGGTACGCGGGGAAGAAGGTGAAGGAGGTGTGAACGCCATGTTCGTGGTATAAATTAAAAATATAAAATATAAAATAAGATGATCGACTTAAAAAAGAAAAAAAAATTGGTTGGTATTTTTAAACGGTAATTTTAACGATTAAAATGTGTTATTATATTACGATAAATTATATATTACCTAACATGAAATTCAGAAGAAAAAAAAGTATTTACTATTTATTAGTTTACATTAATACATATGTATAGAACATGAACACTTATTTGATTTATACATGTGTGCATGTGTGTGTTTTTTAATAATCATGTCAATTATGTACTTTAAAAAAAAATCCAAGATGAACAAAAGGACGGGATAATTACATGGGAAGCCATCAATGATAGTTATGCCAAAGTATTATGGGTGTTGGGATAAATAATTTTTAGCTTATTAGTTTATTGCGGTGAGAATAAATATTTTTTAAAAATGTGTTTAGATTAGCTTATTGTAGTGGAAATGAAAAATAAGCAATAATCATTTTAAGTGTTTGGCAAACAAAACAACTTATATGAGTAGAATGATCAATAAGTAATAAACACCATTCCCCTCCTCTTGCTTATCAAAATCAGCTTATTTGATTTATTTCTACCACAAAACTGATTTTTAAAGATTCATATATTAACACCTAAATTTGTTTATTGCGGTAGGATTAAGCAATAAACAACAAGCGACCTATGTTTTCCCAATCCAAACACTCCCTTATTTTGGATTATATATACAACTATTATTAGTATTATTCATGTTGATTTTCGTTTGGATTTTATGTATATAAATAATATTGTTATTGATCAAATATATCTTCTTTGATTTGGATTTGTATTTAATTTTATTTTAAGTTTGATTTGGATTTTATATGATATTTATATTTATTTTATTTTATTTTGTAATTGTTAAAGAAGTTTGTTCCGTTTATTTTATAAACAGAAACAGATGAAACCACAATTAACATGCTATTATTGACCATAACATTTTAGTTTGTTACAAAAGACTACAAACGGTTTAGGATATCCTATTTTGTCGATGCATAGAATCATTTGTTTGTTACTATAGCTAAAATTGGTTTGCACTAATGAATATAGTTATGTTTTTTTTAATAGTTGTAATATTTTAAATTTTGATTTTGTGACATCTTAAATTCATATTTTATTGTAATAGATAATATTTTGAAAGATAAACAATAAACAATATTTATAAAGTCATTTATAACGTCTATAGGTTAGTAATGCGTAAATGATAAGCAATATTCATGTACTAATAAATAGTTGAATAAATAGAGTCATACGTGTCATATGTTTATTTACGGTGTCAAAATAATAATGAAAAATAAAAGAAGCTGTTAAAATCAAGCAAACAAAAGGTGTTACAAAAGTTTTGAATTGATATTTAACTATTTACCTTTCGAAATTTAAAGCAAACTTGTAGAGCTTAAGAGACGGGAGGGGGTATTTTATGTTTTTCATAAAGAGTTACATGGTAGATTAGTGTATTAAATGGATTGATTAAAAAAATATTAAATATAAAAATATAAATAATATATATTTATTAAAATTAAATTTTAAAATAAATGAACATATTAATTGTAATTTATTATCATATTTAATACTTTACACATATAAATAGTATTATATGGTTTTTTAATTTTAAAAATAAAAAAAATCAAAAATAAAAAAATTGAAAAAATCAAAAATTATTTATTAAAAAATATCACAAACTATCAAAACTTAGAAGAGATTTGACAAAATGAATATTCATAGTAGATTTAAACTACATCAAAGTTTATATGTATAAAAAATATCACCACTAAAACATCTCTAGCATTTCAGTTAACTTATTAGATTTGATAAAGGTTTAAAATAAAATTCAAATAAAGTTTCTATAACTTCGAGTCCGATTTGTTAAATGTTTCTAGTGTATTTTTGTACACAAAAGGGTTGGGGCTTATACAACTTAGACCGATCGGAATGCTCATCTACCCTACCATGTGGTGGTGAGGTGTCACCACGGTGATGGGTGAATACGATGCCGACTGGGGGTTGTGACTGCAGTAAGGCCACCGCAATAGAATTTCACCGCATGATTTTTTTCTTTTCTTAACATTGCACTTGACCGTTTTTTAATGGATATATTAGGGAAAAAAAATCATCTGATATAAATAAACACTCTCACTTCTCAATTTAAAACAAAAAAGAAACACAAAATACGGATATATACTTTAGATTCATAATTCTAAAGTGTCTTTATCATCATCCACTTCTTCAGATACATTGACGTTGCGGGAAGTAGAAGTTATCGGGGACATTATACGAACAACTTTGTTCTATTTATAAAAAAAATGAAGCTAAAAGTTCATGTTCAAAAATTAGAAATCCTCATTTACAGAGAAATTGTGAAAACAGGCACAACCAACTTGTGAATGACTACTTTACCGATGATGTAGTCTACGTCGTAAGATTAAGGTGTCGGTTCCCAATGAGGAAAATATTAGTTTTATGCATTGATCACTTTATAAAAAAATTGATTTCCATGTTTTCAATAGAGAATTGATGGAAGAAGTTAAAAAGTTTTTTCTACAATTCAAAATGTACAACTGCAATTCATCAACTAGCATTCGATATGGGACCAAACTCATGGGATAAGTATTTGAGGATGTTAAAGCGAACGACGTTATAATGTTTATACAAGTTTGGTAAAGTTATGATCATTCTTTATTGTGGTCGGTATTTACGCAAGCCTATAATTGGTGACATCCATCAATTGTATACGACACATGAGTGTGGGTATTACCGTACTGATGGGATATCTTGAGTTAACTACATTTGTGAAACAATTTTCATGTCCAAATGATGAAAACAAATAAGTTTAAGCCGGGTCAGGAATCTACAAAGAAAGATATTGATCGATTTTTTGGTGTTATGAAGAAACGTTGGCAGATACCCGCAGTACTAACATGATCTTTCAAGTGCAAACGATTAAGTAATACGATGTACACATGCGTCATATTGCATAATATGATTACAGAAAACATGTGAATGGTGACTTGTTACTACAATGAAAATGAGAATTTACCAAATGTCAAAAGAGTTGGACACCACACACTTTGGACTGATTTGGTGGAATATATCTTCAATGCTCAAGTGAATTCCCTTGTCGATGATTTTGAAGACGATTTGTTCGACGATACAGATGACGAATCAAACACGATTGAAGAAGATTCGGATAAGAACTACAATAACGTGGCAAGCGATGATGATTTAGTATTATGTACTATTCTACTATGTCTCGATTATATATTTTTTTAATGTTTTAATTTAGTATGCTATTTTTAATCAATGAAGTATTTTTCTTTTATTAATATTATATAATTACATTTTAAATTTATAGTTTATTTAATTGAAAAAAAAAAAGTGTGTTAAGATTCACCACACCCACAAGTTTTATGTGATGAAGGAAATAATATGTTTCTGACATGAGATGTCAAAAGTATAGTAAAATGTACATACATTTTTAGTTTATTCAGTATAAACATTATTTAGAAAATAGACAAAACAAATTGTGGAAAATAAAATTTCCTCCTCCTTTATCCTTATACTTTATCTTTCTACATATTTAAAGATTAACATTGTAATATAGTACTTCTTTTTCTTTTATCTTTGTCTTTTAATTTTGACATATGACATAATCAGTGTATATGAAAATAAATAAATAAAAATAGTACTATTCTAATAATTTAAACTCGAGTTTGTTTTAAGTTATTACTGGACTCGTGAAATACACTTATTTTAACATTTCAAAAGAGCAAGGCAGTGTCCAATGGTTGCTGGGTGGGGTCCGTTAAATGGTAATATGGTCCTATGACCCAAAGGCCCGTTTAAAAAAAGGAGTACAAAATGGCATCCTATATTGGGGCTGATGCACGTTTATTTCGTGCCCCGTCATCATTGAAAAATACTATAATCATGCTTACCGAGTTACCGTACAAGTTTGATTATTTATTTTACAATTCTTTCAATATTAAATCCAAAGTTAAGATTTAATAGTTACGAAGCATATTTTATTAGACGGACTATCAAACGAGTCTATCACTGAATATAGCACATAGTTTGTTTTTAATGGGTTTTTATGATTTTCATAACTTCACAAAATATTCGCGACTCAACAAAATATTTCGGCAAAAATTATGTAACTCGGTTTAAGTTGTTAAAAATATATACGCACAGAAATATGTAAAAAAAAACTACCACAGAACCAAAATGCAAATAACACAACCATTGCAACCAAACAAATGTATAACATCAACCATTATTAATCGGTCGTTGTAATTAGAAAAAAAAAGGACACAATTACAAAGGAGGTAATTAACAAAAATGACAATATTTATGGCATTTGTAATATGGTGGGGTTAAAACGGGTCAAAACTTATTTGTGTTGTTCTTCCATGTATATATGGGATATACCTTTTACAGGAACATCATTCTCAAAACTTTTGAAAATATTTGGACTCTATCTTTGAAAATCGTGTCTAATATAAGCATAGATTCAATATATCGGGTTAGTTTTCATGTGAATTTTACCATGATTTTAAGAAGATAATACTATATTTGTTGTCAACTTGTCCGGTACGCGATGATCGATTACAAAATGCTTATAAGAACTCCATAACGTTTTGTATTAAAATGTTGTGATTCATTTTTTTTTTCGTATTTATGTTATTAGAATATTTAGTAGGCCCCATGGCAACATGTACGTAAAGTAACAACCGTACGTAACAATATAAACTTTGTTTGAAATATTACTTTTATCTGGATCTAAAGAATTAACTGGAATTAACAGTCCATGTTTCAGTCCATATAATATCTAGAATGTAGGAATCTATGATCCTTTATCTAATGGACGCGTCATTGATTTGTTCAAAGTTCAACAATGGCTTTTAAGAGCTACGATTGCTAGTCGGGATCTTGGAGTCATACGCAATAATAGTTTGACTTATCCAAGTGGGAGACTGTTGGATTATGGTCTAAGTCATTGAACTTGTATGTACTTGACCCGATTTGGCATGGTCCATTTGGGTTGCATGACATCGTAACAATTTGGATAGACTTCTGTCAGAAAAGGATATTTATGATTTATTAATATATCAAAGGAAAATCCCAGCACAAAGCCCAAGTGAAATTAGGGGTTCACATAAATGACAATTAGGGTTAAGTGTTTCTCACATAACCCATTAAGGACTTAATACATTAAGTCCCTCACTTTGCTAAATAAGTCTTATGGTATGATTGGGCTTAATACACGATTTCATTCCAATGGCCCAAATGTAAGTCCCGATAGGTCCAAGCCCATAATCCTAAAATTAGGGTCTTCACATGAAATGATGATTAAGGTTAAGTGTTTCTTACTTAACTCATTAATGACTTAATCCATTAAGTCCAATATTGCTTAGATTCATTTTTGCCAATGATTATTATTTAATATCTCAAGTTAATAAATAATTCTCGTGTGTCCCGATTAATTCCCCAAATTAGGGTTTTATTGGCATTAGGGTTTTCCAACCCAAATACTAGCCCATTTATTAATTTGTTGGACTTTTAGGTCGATTAGGGCTTTATTGGGCCTATTAGGCCAAACTGAAAATCATTAAGCCCTTTAGGATATATTGGGTCAATTAGGGTCAAGGGCTTATAAGGCCCATTAGGGTTTCAAACACCCTAAACGAATCGAACTCAACGAGGCAAGCACACCACCACCCGACACGACGGCCGGTGGTGGTTAGGGTTCCTTTCTTTCATTATTTCAATTTATGATTACATTTTACAAACTCTAATCCCAAAATAAACACACTAAACAAACTAATCATACACACATACAACCACCCTTGTGGTGACAGGTGGTGGCAGAACCAAGGTAGAGGCGGCAACCACCATGGTTGGCAGCCATGGTCATTTCGGGGCTTTCTAGCCAACTGAAAACACACACACACACACATCCCGACTAGTAACAGAAATAATACACACCAAAGCAGCCTCCTCGGGGTGGCAGATGATGACCAAAACAGTGAGAGAAAGACTAAACGACGGCGGTAATGGCGGTTTACAGCTGCGAATGGTGGCAATCTATCACCAATAAGCATGACCACAACAGCGGAAACAAAAGAAGAAGAACACAACGGTCATTTCTTGACGCAGTGACTTGAATGGTGGCGAACTGAGCAAACCGAAGGAGGAAAGGTGAGGCGCGTCCGGTCGTGGCGGCGGTGGTCGTCCGATGAGGCAGCAACCAATACTCGAACATCAGCACCCACGAACAAGTCTTCCGATCTCGTCAAACCTTTTCGCCCTCACTGGCAACGGAATAAGGTAGCTGCTCGGGTGGCCCTTTAGTGGTGATTCTTCGACTTCAGGGGGTGAAGAAGCAACGGCCGACAATGGGGCGTCGTGAGGTGTGCGGCCGTAACGGGAGGGAT